AAACTTGACAACGCAATTCAATAAATGAAAATAATGAAAAAAGACCTACTGGGAATTACCGAATTCAGATGACCAGAGTCAGGATCATCTAAAAAGGAAGAAAGTGTATTATATTATTCTAGTAACAGTACAGAAGACCCGCATTACAAAAATGATGTAGGTATACTATTAACATTAAAACTGAGTAAATATGTGACCAATTTCGTACCACTCTCGGATAGAATAATATTACTCCAAATAAATACTTCACCCTTTAAAACTTACTTCAAATCTATGCCCCAACTGCAGATAGAAAATATGACGATGAAATCGAGAAGTTGTATGATCAGATCCAAGACATCTTACAGAAACTTAGTAAACACGAAATTTTATATGTCATAGACGACTTCAATGCAAAAATTTTGTCTGTAGGTCCTTATGGTCTGGGAAAACCTGACGATCGAGATGAACATTGCAAACATCTGGAATAAACTAACCAAGCGACGACTATACACTTTTAAAACCCCATTTGATGATGGCAATAACCCCGAGTCCACAAGAAATCAAATGGACTCTGTACTTTGAAATAAACGTTTCCGACGAAACGAATTCAGCGACAAAAACCAAAAACCAATGTTACTTTGACGATGTAAACATAAAACATAAAATTAAACAAAAATTTAACAATATAATAAAAAACATTGGACAACAACTAGAAGATCCAGAAGAACTATGAAGTGAATTTAAAAAGCAAGTTAACGAAATCTCCACAAACAATGATTATAGAAAAAGCTTAATAAAAAAAAATACATGGATGACAGATGACATCTTGAAATTAATGGAACAACGTCGACTGATGAAATCTAATGAAACAGAATATAGACACTTACAGAGAAAAATAAAAAGGGAGATCAAATTACCCAAAAGAAAAATGTATTAGAGAATGGTACGACGAAATGGAGGATGTAATATCTAAAGACAACTTATTTAATGTGCATAAAAAACTTAAAGAAATGAGTAACATATTTAAAAAACGAATTGTCTCTGCACCCGTTGACAATAATAACAAAATTATGTAAATAAGCACGAAATAAGAAAAGAATGGCAGCTGTATATATCAGTTGTTTGAAGATGACAGGAATAATATTGCCGAATTCTACCAAACCTGTACTGACGGCCCAGAAATTATGAAATGCGAGGTAAAACACGCTATAAATAAAGCTTAAATTAGAAAAGCTTGTGGTCCAGACGATATACCAAATGAGTTGCTGAAACTAATAGACGATGATAAAATAAAAGTAGTAGGAAGACATTCAATATATAACACTGGAGTGATTCCCACAGATTGGCTCAAATCCATCTTTGTCGCTATACCTAAAAAACACAATGCGAGAAAATGGTCAGAATATCGATTAATTAGCCTAATGTTAATTAGCCTAACGAAATAGAAAGAGCTTTAAAAGAACTAAAAAATAATAAAGCTCCAGGATACGTCGGTATAATTGCCGAGCTCTTGAAAACAAGTAAGACATTAACAATCCCTGTACTAACAGAGCTATTTAATAGATGTCTCCATAATAGCCAGATCCTTAAAAACTGGAACGAGAGTCTAGTAATACTCTTACACAAAAAAGGGGACAAATGTGATCTACAGAATTATAGACCTATATAGTTGCTCAGTCAAGTATACAAACTATTTATGAGAATTATTAATAACCGGTGAACCTACAAAATGGATAATTACCAACCGGTTGAACAGGATGGCTTCCGGAAAGGATATAGTACATCAGATCATCTGCTGACAATGAGAACATTGATAGAGAAGGCAAATAAATACCAACTACCCGTATTTCTTGCCTTCGTCGACTATGAAAAGGCGTTTGATAGAATCGAGATGTGGGCCATAGAACAAGCTAATAATAATTGTAGAATAGACTCGAGATATAGGCAACTAATACATAATATATATGAAAATGCAACTAGACGAAAATACAAATCCCATCCCCATTAAGAGAGGAATGAGGCAAGGAGACGTAATATCGCCAAAGCTTTTTAACCTAGCCCTAGAAGACGTCTTCAAAACTACCAATTGGTCAACCTATGGCATTAACGTTAATGCCAACAAGTTAAACCACCTCAGATTCGCTGACGACATAGTGATTATAGCGAGCACATTCGAGGAACTGCAAATTATGTTGGGGTAACTAGCAGCCGGCTCCCAATACGTCGGCCTAAAAATGAATATGAAAAAAACAAAAATAATGACAAACACAGTAGACCCCAGACATATAACTATAAACGGCAGTGAGATAGAACAAATCCAGGAATATATCTACCTAGACCAAATCCTGAGACTTGACAAAGAGAACCAAAGTGCGGAAATTACTAGAAGAGCAAGACTAGCATGGGCAGGATTTGGAAAACTTAGTTGGATACTTAAGAACCGCAAAATACCCCAATACTTGAGGAGCAAAATGTTCAACCAATGTATCCTTCCTATCATGACATATGGATGTCAAACCTGGACCCTAACCAAGGCTAACATGAATAAACTAGTCACAACAAAAAGAACAATGAAAAGAGCAATTTTAGGTATACGACTGTCAGATAAAAAGAGGAATGACTGGGTAAGATCCAAAACAAAAGTCGAGGACATAACAATAAAAATTGCAAAACTTAAATAAAGCTTCGCGGGCCACACTGCTAGACAGAAAGACCTACGTTGGAATACTACAATACAACATTGGAGACCTTACGAAAGTAAACGACTAAGAGGAAGACCACAGATGAGATGGGTTGATGACATTAGAAGAATGGCCGGAACAAATTGGAAATATGTTGCTCAGGATAGAGACCGATGGAAGGAGTTGGGAGAGGCCTATGTCCAAACGTGGACGACAGAAGGCTAAGAAGAAGAAGAAGCCTAATGAGCCATACTCTCAAAATTTTCCTAAAAATACTTCACAACAGAATTAGAGGCAAATGCGAAGAAGATCTCGAAGATAGTCAATTTGGTTTTAGAAGTGCTATGGGAACCGGGGAGGTACTTTTTGTGCTTAACATCCTATTACAAAAATGCCGTGACCAAGTAAAATATCTATTTGCATGTTTCGTAGACTTTGAGAAGGCATTCGATAAAGTACAGCATGTAAAATTGATGCAAATACTGAAAAATATCGGAATACATGACAAGGATATTTGTTTCATTAAAAATTTTTACTGGAATCAAACTGCCGTCGTAAAAATTGGAGATAAATACACCGATGAAATCTCCATACAACGAGGAGTGAGACAAGGTTGCATTTTGTCGCCAACCTTGTACAGTGTTTACTTAGACCAGTTATTTAAAAAGGCACTTGAGAGAAAACCATATGGAATAAAAATCAACTGGGATCTACTTAGTGGTATTAAATATGCAGACGATACAGTAATTCTGTCAGATAATATTAAAGGTTTCCAAATTCTGCTTGATCGTATTCACGAGGTAGGAGAGGAAATGAGCATTAAAATAAACTCAAACAAAACCAAACATTTAGTGTTTAGTCGTGACCCACATCCCTATGCAAAGCTTCAATTAAACGGAATCTAAGTTGAGAAAATTCACAAAATGGCATTTGGGAACTGTGATAACGGACCAATTAGATCCAGACTTAGAAATAAAACGTAGAATAGCAATGACTAAAACTACTTTTATGAAAATGAAGTCATTTCTTTGTAATAATCATTTCAGTTTAGAACTAAGACAAAGAATGGTTGTGTTAAGCACTTTTGTATAGTGCAGAAGTGTGGACGCTAAAAGTATAAGTCATGAACAAAATTGAATCATTAAAAATATGGGTTCATAAACAAATGCTGAAGATACGTTCGACAGCAAGGAAAACTAATAAAGAAGTACTAAGGAGCGTCAACACAAAGATAGAGAACTGTTAAACATCGAAAAATGACACATAGTAAGGGTAAGTCAATATAAAATTTTACAACTGATCCTTAAAGGCAAAATGGAGGGCCGTATAGGTGTAGGAAGAAAACAAGTTTCTTGCAGGACAATTATTTCATATTGCAGAAGATCAAAAAGCCTTCGCAATGGTGATTGCCAACGTCAAAGAATTCTGATTTGGTACGCGAAGAAAAAGAAGTGCTAATGTCAATTCTTCGATTGATCTAAATTGAGTGGATTGACCACTCGAAAATATTTGACAATAGTTATTAGATTTTGTGAAAATGCAGAAGCAAGTCAATTTTTTTTAAAGAGACCATACTTTAACCATTGCCAGAAACGATTCAAGGCGTGAAAATAGCTTTGAATGAAGAATGGGAACATATACCACATGAACAGAATCAGCAACTTATTGCAAATATGCCTAGGCGTATTGAAATCCTTCGCAGATGTAGGGGAGACAATATTCGATACTAAACCTATAGAACAGCCAACTGTCGGTAATTAAAATTTTATTTTTTCATTGTTTAATTTTTCGAACAGTATTAATTTTTTTGCTGTACATATTTTCTTTTGAGTTACTTATTTTTCTTGTTATTACTTTTTTAGTGTTTTAAGGAAACGATTTCTATTAATAATGTTTGCTTCTTCCCCATTTAAATCACAACACGTGTAGAATTAAAAAAAACATACAAAATGCAAGTGTCGGGCTTTTTTTGACCAAGAGTAATTTATAAACAATGAAAGAAGGATTTATCGTCAAAGACAATAAAAATATTGTTGATTTTTGACAATTTTAACTTGACTAATTTAAAGAAAGGTTTTAATTTTATTTTTATTGTGTATAGCACCACAATGCTAGAAAATTTTTATTATTTTTTATCGAGATATATAAATTATTGACTATTATTTTTATAATAAATATTTAGTTGTGTTTTTTATGAAATTGGGTATAAAATTATTTGTAACTAAAAACGATGTAAATTTTGAAACAAAGACAAATAAAATAATGGATTATCAATTGTTTTTTATCCTGTAGTTTAACAAAAGTTCACTGCATAATATAATGTTACAGGAAAACAAGTTGGGAGATATTTGCTTCTCGTTGAGGTACGTCCCCACTGCAGGAAAATTGACTGTTGTAATTTTGGAAGCTAAAAATTTGAAGAAAATGGACGTCGGCGGATTATCAGGTAAACATTTTTTTATGTATTTGTTTTAATGAGAATCCATTTTAGATATTTAATATGATCACTGTTACTTAACTGATGAATTTTACGTATAAGTTCCGACCATCTTTTTAAATTAACTCAATTAACTCACGCATCAATCAATCAATCAATATTCTTTATTTTATCTCAATTTTACAAGTATTGAGATGCGTCAAAATACAATCTAAAAAACTATAGGTACATAAGTAATAAAAAAAGTTAAAACTATAAGCACATAAAACATAAAATATACATAAAAATATACAAATTGTTAAAAAGATGCCTGCAAGTATTCCTCTGACGAATAGAAAGTGTTTGTCAGAGGTAAGTCCTTAATTGTTCTCTTAAATACATAAATATTTGACTCTTTAACATAATTAGGTAATTTATTATACAAACTAACGCATGTTGGGTAAGGACTCTTGCCCACAACAGTCAAGTGACGAGCAGGGGTCACCAAATCATTTCTGTAACGAAAACTGTAGCTACTCATTAAGGAAACATCATTTCTGCAAATAACACAACTGAAAATATACAGAGAAATTACAGTTAAAATATTTCATTGTTTAAAAACTGGTCTACAGGAATCCAAGCGCCTTCTAAACGTCATGGTACGAATATTTTTTATTAAGAACAAGCACCTCATTAATTCGCGAGCAATTTCCCCATCAAACTCAGCAATATTGCAAAATTGACTGTACATGAGCAAAATAGTAAAGTTTCAAGATATCTAGGGAGACAAAATTCCTAAGTTGCCATAGAACATAACAGTGTACAGACAATCTTTCCACTACAGAATCAACGTGAGAACTCCAAGACAAATTAGAATCCAGGTAAACACCTAACAAAACTTAATACAAATTAGCTGTGTTCCACACTCTAAGGTGGTCTTTCCAACTGGTTCCCAGAAGTTATCTGAGAAGTCTTATATGAGGTCTGAACCTCTGATGGAACAGCTCAGGGTAACGATAAAGGTGCAAACCCAGTAGAGAACAACTCAATGTCTATTTTATTATAATCCCCAATAAAAATAAAAATGAAGAATTCTTGATTCTGGACTGAACTTCTGAAGTAGCCTAAAATGATATTTGTGTTAGCGTTCCTCCTTACTCTTAATAAAAAGTAGGAAAAAACACAAGAAAGATACGATACGATTTGAAAGATACGATAAAAAAAAAGTTACTGGGAGCAAAAAGCTCTACTGATTTTGTAAATAGTGTGACCTTGCATGGTTTGACAATATTTTAAGTAAAATGTATTGATTAAATAGATAATTTTATAAACGAAAACGCATGCTATGGTATACACATAACAGTATAAGACAGAATATTTTTATAATATACTCTTAATAGATATATAATTATATATTTGTTTAATGCCGGAAGATATACAGATTGAACCAAATTAAAACGGAACATACAATTTAATACATGTCTGTTTGAACTGCATTTAAAATAGTGGACCAATATAAAACTTGGACAAAAATAAATCCATACCTGGGTATAGACATTGTATAAAATATCGTTCAACTATCTGTTTCGCAACAAAGTTGTTTGCGTAAGACGGGTTTGTCTAAGGAGGCGTAATAGTTCAGGAATTGAAGCTCGAAAAAAGTTAAAACCTCGCAATTTTTTCGTCCTGCATGTATCCAGTTGAAATTTTAGCAGAAGGTAGGTAATAGCCCAAGGATCAAAATCTATATCGAACCGAAGTGCGCTGAAGGGTTTTAGGGGTGAAAACTACCCCTAATTTTCAAAAATTATAAAATAATATATTAAACCTGAATATGGGTAAAATTTGGTTTGAATTAATTAAATAATGATTATTTTATACTTTTGAATAGAGTTCCATCATATTTCAACCCTTAAAAAGCAACCCTTGTTAGAGATTAATGTAAAAAATTACTAATTCTAAACAAATGATTTCGCCTTGGATCGATTTGGATAAAAATTTGGATTTAAGCTCAATTCACCCGCTGCTTTATAGTTTATGTCATGTCGACGAACCCTGATTGTTCTTAGGGGTGAAAACTACCCCTAATTGTCAAAAAATATAAAATAACATATTAAACCTGAATATGGGTAAAATTTGGTTTGAATTAATTAAATAATGATAGTTTCGTGCTTTTCAATAAAGTTCCATCATATTTCAACCCTTAAAAAGCGACCCTCATTAGAGATTAATATAAAAAATTTAGTAATGCGAAGAAAATGATTTCACCTTGGAACGACTTGCATAAAAATTTGGAATTAAGCTCAACTCACCCTCTACTTTATAGTTTATGTCATGCCGATGAACCCTGATTGTTCTTAGGGGTGAAAACTACCCCTAATTTTCAAAAATTGTAAAATAATATTACAAATCCTAAGATGAGTGAAATTTGGTTTGGATTAGTTAAATAGTGAGTTTTTTATACTTTAAAATACAAATTCATACATTTTCAACCCTTAAAAATCAATTGTTGTGAGTGCTATAGGTGAAAACAATTTTTTGCCAAAATTTTGCAACTTTCAACTTTTGAAAATCACCCTTTACAACATTGCAGTTTTTATAAACTAATTTGAACTACTCCTAACTAAATTGAAAAAAGTAGAATTAAATACAAAAAAAATTATCAACATAAAAAGGCACCATATATTCTTATACATTTACATAAATAGTTGAAAATATTTACATTTATAGGTAAAACAATTATAATATTAATTTTATTCGTCATCAATTACATCTTCATGTGATCCATGTCATCATCATCTTCCTCAATTATTGGTGGACTGTTATTGCACCCTTCACCTGAGCACCCAGAACAAGTAGAGTTACAGTATAAACCAACTTTTCTGCACCCATATGAAACGCCGCATCCTTTTTTGCATTGGCAAAAAATAATTTTCAAAAATTTATCGGGTGCAGGTTGTTTGTTCATGCGTACGGGTAATAACAAACCATCTTTGGAAAACCATCTCCAATCTGTTGCTCTGATATTTTCATTGCCAAGCCATAGATATTGAGCAGATGTTTTATTCTGTTGTATGGGATTTCAAAATAAGAACGCTTAAAATTTCGAATGTATAACGCCCCACTAGCTAATATACCGGTTTTGTAGATTATTATGCTCCGAAATGTACTGTACTATTTATACTAATGGAATTTTCCGGAAAAAAAATTAACTGGTTTTTTTAACGTATTTCCTTTAATTTTTAACGATAGATGTTTCTTCAAAAACGATTTGTAGAGGTTTTTAATAGCTACAAGGATCTGTGAATTAAATCTTTTTGGAACCCTTGGTTTTTAAATGGGGTGAGTTTAAAGGGCTCGAAAAAGATGGTGCTTGATCGTAAATCGATGCTTTAAACGGCTATATCTCGCCAAATATTCATTGTACAACAAATCTAAATAAAGGATAATTTTAGTCATTAAAAAAGCTACAATTTGGTAATTTTTATTTTTTTCATATATTCAGTATTTTCGGGCTCATTTCATATTTAAAAAAAGAAGGGTAAAAAATATGAAATTATAAATAGTTTCTCGCTTTAAGCTGTACTTTTTCTAAAACTAAGCATTTTAAATGGGTCAAACTTCTTGGACGTATTAACAATACATCTACAAAGGGAATTGCAGAAGGGTGAAGATCGATTTTAATTATGGGGGTGGTTAGGTTGTTGTTTTCCTCGATTTTTTCGTAAAAAATGAGGTATTGACCTTATTTGTTTATGATAGGTCTATTTATGCTCTTTAAAAAACGTTTTGTGAGTTTTCTTCCAAAAATTCATCATTTTCCCGATATTTGTCTTTTTAAAAGCTACAAATTTGTTCTCTACAATTTTTTTGATAAAATGCACCATTTTCGAGTTATTCGCGAAAAATCGATTAAAAACGTGGATTTTTTCGTCTAAAAGTTGTTACTTTCAATCGCGAATAACTTGAAAAATATCATTTTATAAAAAAATGTATAGCACATTTTTTGTTTAGAATCACTTTTCTAATCGAAACCTGTAGTTAAAACGTAAAAAAAAATTTCACCCCGGAGATGGGGTGGCAACCACCCCCTAGGCTTTGGCGCACTTTGGTTCGATATAGATTTTGATCCTTAGGCTATTACCTACCTTCTGTTAAATTTCAAGTCAATCCACGCCGCACGAAAAAATTGCGAGGTGAAATGCTACATTTCCTGGACTATAACTGGTTTGACAGCATAATAAAATCTTAGATTTATGTGTAGCTTTCAATATATATGAGTTCAGAATCCAGCAGTCCGCTGAAGTATGGGATTTTTTATAATATAATTATTTGACAATCTTTTGTTGGCCACAGCAGATTTGAGCCGAAATACATTATATTCCTATGTTCCGAATTTATTTCGTTCAATCTGTATAGAAATTGGACATATGATTTAATCTTATAAACTTCGATTTAGACGTAGAATATTTCTTAATGAAAATGATGTGAAAAATTACAGATAGATACAGTGTGGAAACCACTTATTATAGAAAATAATCAAAAACTCTGAAATACGTTAACACTTAAATTTTAATGGGCGCTTTTTGAACATAAGTTTAAATGTACAGGGTGATCCACGCAAGTCTGGCATAGTCCATAATCCTTATTTTTAATGAAACACCCTGTATATTTTTTCTTTTTAAAATACTTTTAACAAGCTAATTTCAATTAACTATATCATGTAGCGTCTATAATGAATAATACAAAGTGAAATTTTGAAATTAATAATTTATCACGTGTTGTGGTATTATTTTAAATTAGCTAAATACAGACAATAGACTTCTACTCGTAAGTGTCAGTACACTGTATTTTGGGGAAAATTTCTGTTTAGTAATCGTGTTAACATTTTTTGTCGTGAATAGGTAAAAACTGTATGGATAGTCTGCCAATTAAACTAAATCGGTAAATAATGCGGATTTTTATCAATCAGTTGACATGTTGTTGACATTTTACATTAAAATAATAAATCCTTAATTAAAAACTAATTTCTTGTAGAAATAAAAATGAAATATTTAACTAAGGCCCACCGAATTGAGATTTTAATGATGATCGGTTACGGGGAGAATTGTAGAAGTCAAGTTGATTAAATAAGTAGCAAACTTATTTAATCAGAGGTATCCTCAGTTACCTAATATTTCACAAGGTACTGTGTCTAAAATTTACGCACAATTCAGAGAACTTAGACATATCAAACCATTAAAAAGAAAATCAAACTTCATTGAAGATGAAGTGAAAGTAGATATTTTGTCAAGTGTCGCAGAGAATCCAACGTCAAGTTCACGTCAAATTGCACGTCAAAATAATTTTATTGAAAACATACAAAATCTGCTTACCAGTTAGACCTATTTAGAAGTGTGTACAAGTCTTACAGTCTTTTTCAATTCAAAATAATGTGAGTCACACTATTGTCCTAAGGTATCTCCATGAAGAAAACTTCATCCATATAAATTGACATATGTGCAGGAGCTAACAGAAGACGATCCGATAAAACTAACAAATGAAATAGCTCTTGGCACAATTATTTTTTCTGATGAATTAACATTTACATTGAACGGAGAGGTAAACTGACAAAACTGTAGATATTGGTCAGAGAAGAATCCTCATTGGATGCGTGAGACACACACTCAGTATCCTCAAAAGTTGAATGTTTGGGCAGGTATTATGGGAGATCATATTATTGGTCGTATATTTATAGATGATAATTTGACAGCGGAAAAATATTTAAGCATGCTAAGAGACGATGTTTTTCCTTAGTTGGCTAACTTATATTCAAATCCAAAAGATCCGACCCTACCGCATGAGACTGTCTGGTTCCATCAGGACGGTGCAACACCCCATTATGCTTTAATGGTGAGAAATTACTTGAATGAAATCTTCTTCAATAAGTGGATTTGATGAAGGGGACTATTGAGTGGCCAGCTAGGTCGCCAGATCTTACGACTTTGGATTTTTGTGGGGTTATCTCAAGAATAAAGTATATGCAACACAATCAACTATCATTGAAGACCTCAAACAGAAAGGATAACTACAGAAATACGGAATATTTCACCCCAAACTTTAAACAAAGTTCGAAACGAGTTTTATAGGAAGCTGTGTTATTGCCAACAACAAGGTGGAGAACATGTTGAGCACCTTGGGTATTCTATTAATTCATTGTCTTGAAGAAAATACCTAATTTCAAAATTTCACCTTGTATTATTCATAATAGAACCTACATGATATAGTTCGTTGAAATCAGGTTGTTAAGGAGCTTTTAAAAATATGAAAATATACAGGGTGTTTCATTTAAAATACATATTATGCACTATGCCAGACTTGCATTGATCACCCTGTACATTCAAATTTATGTCTAAAAAGCGTACATTTAAATTTAAAAGATAAGGTATCTTAACGTTTTTTATTATTTTCTAAAATAAGGACACAAACAATTTTATTCCATAAGTGGTTTCCACACTGTATATCGACTGGAAACATGACAATATAGGAATCAAAATGGCTGATGGTTGTTATAATTTTTATTAATAATTAAATCCACATACCGGCTAAGAGTGGTTATAACTCAAATGGTATACACTAAAAACAACTAAAATTGTTTCATCTTCTTCCCAAAAAAAATACTTTTCTTAAAACAAATTTAGCACAACTCTTTGCCGCCTACTTATTTTAGTTCACCGAATTTCCTTTGTCCAGAGTTGAGACCAGAATGCGCACTAATTCTTACTCATTAGTCGGATAAGAAGTCTCCTTAAACGGCCGCTGGAGTCGCTGTTTAATACCAACTTAGAAATTCAAAGTTAAGAAAATTATTAAGAGGAATTTAAAAATTTTATTTAAAAATGTTTAAAGAATTATTGAAGTGACGGATTCGTTACAACATCTTGGCTCCGAAATCTCTAAGAATGGTATCAAGAGACCACCGCTAATTTATTTAGAGCCGCCGTAAACAAAGTTATCATTGCCAATATGATCGCCAACGTTCGATACTCGGACAGGGTACTGAAATAAGAAGAAGAAAGTCAAATTATAAAAAATATTTAAAAATAATAACATATTTTCATTAATGATTCAACAGATTCATAGGATCATAGGGTCCACATTGACCAATAAAATTAAGATCAAGAAAGGGGTACAACAGTGCTGTCTCTTGTCAACATCTTGTCTCCTATTTTCTTTAATATATACTCAGAAGAAGTATTTAAGATAGCGCTGGAGAAAAGCACAGAAGGCATAAAGATAAATGGAGAAATAATTAATAACATAAGGTATGCTGGTGACACTGTGATTCTAGCAAGTAGCATGGAGGAACTGAGTTGTCTAATGAGTCAGATACAAAAAACAAGTGCACCATACGGACTCAGACTAAATATCACAAAAACCAAATGGATGTTAGTAAGCAAAACCCAACAACCACCACAGCAACTGATATTAGACAATGAAAGAATTGAACACGTGGATTCGTACATCTACTTGGGAACAACAGTTAACTCAAATTGGGATCAAGCGAAGGAAATACGTATAAGAGTAGAAAAGGCAAGAGCATCGTTCACTAGCAGGAAGCCAATTTTCCGACGAATATTACGTATATCCTGGACTGAGCACGTGACCAACGAAGAGGTACTATGCCGGATAGGTAAAGAGAGAGAGGTAGGAATAAGTATAAAGAAAATAAAGTTGGAATACTTGGGTCACGTTATGAGACATAATAAATATAGAGTACTAAAGCTGATCGTTCAAGGGAAAATAGACAGCAGAAGGGGTCCAGGAAGGAGAAGACACTCGTGGCTTCAAAACTTGCGAGAATGGTTCGGATTGTCACTAAACTATTCAGATCTGCCGTAAACAAAGTCAGAATAGCCATGTTGATTGCCAACGTTCGGAACGGACAAGGCACACGAAGAAGAAGAATTCAACAGATATCGCAACTGCGAATAAGTGAAACCGCGGTTGATGAGCCCGCGGATAACGAGGGATTACTGTACTGTGTTTTACAAAGTCGTACTAACTAAAACCAATATGGAACCACGGCAAAGAACTCTGGGGCTGTCGAGCTCCAAGCTTTCAAACACAAAAATCTTGCAAAACTTCCAATCAAAAATATTACGTACGATAGTTAACGTCCTATGGTATGTGAGCAATGCAACCATCCAAGATGTCATATCACTTCACGTCAATAAGACCAAAGATCTTAATTCCACCTCACCACAGCCAAATTATTAGTGAATTATATCAGACACCAATGGTCGAAGGAAAACTGAAGAGGACTTCGCGAGAAGACTTGGTTACATAGGTGAAAATGGAGAAGTGTCCCTAGACGGTACTCAAATTAAGTCAATATTGTCATAACATTATTCATTTAAAATAATATAAATATAATAATAATAATATAAATATACGTATATGCATTTAAAAAATATATTTCCTTGTCTAACATAGTCCTTGAAAAAAAACTTCTAAAAAGCTCATTTATACTTTAAATTTATGACAGCGTGTGCCTTTGTTAAAATCATTTTATATTTGTTATAAAAGAAATTTCTGTCAGCACTAAAATGGACATCTTCAGGATATAATTAAAATGATTTTTAGTCCCCAAAAAAATCTATATACGGACCATATATTCGTGTAACATCATAGCGTATTTCTATTATGTACATTTTTTTCAATGACTTTATGTATTCTAATGGATATTAAGATTGTTTTTATCTTAATTTACAGATCCTTATGTAAAGATAGCCTTGATGCAAAACGGCAAGCGATTGAAGAAGAAAAAAACTAGTATAAAGAAATGTACCCTTAACCCTTACTATAATGAATCATTCACATTTGAAGTACCGTTTGAACAAATACAGGTAAGTGACTTTTCTTAAGATGTCTAGTGGATTCTTTAGAAAAAATCAATTTGCAGTGTAAATAAAAAAAATTTATACTTTTTTATAATTTTAATGTTTAATGAATAATTTAGTTAATTTGTTCTTATTTTCAACGTGATTTCTATAAACTTTCAATTGACAAAAAAGAAAAACGAGTCTAGTATGTCTAAAATTATATATTTTTTTAGTAAGTACTTTTCCAAAATTTCACTTAACTTTACCTTTTTCTTTTTTTTTAATTTGTTCGAAAACAACGATGAAATATTTTTGTTTCCATACGAATTAGAATTTCCCCCTATAGTTGAAGTTAACGAGCCTTTTTGTAGAAAAATATACCACAATTGCTAGGTATGATCATCCAAGTTCAGCTCATGGTGGCACTCTTTGACAATTCTTTCTACAAATAATGATTTCTCTCCTATAACAAAATATGACTTTCTGTTGAATGAAACCTTTTTTGAGTTTTTATTTTTGAGTTTCACAAAGTCAGTTTCGGCTTTTTATCTAATAAATGTACCAGTGATGCTATGTTTTCTGTACTACATGAGGTATATCCGGCACTAAAAAGTAATTTTTCTTTTTTTTATTTACAAATTCGCATTAACCCGAAGGTTATTAGCGAGAATCAGATTTACAATATTAAATATATTATATATTAACAAAATTAATAGCTTTTAAGTAGTTTAACATATTTGTGAATGAACAATTTGCACCAAGTGCTTTCTCTAAGTTTATTGAGATACCATAATTGATTCTTGCTGTGGAGAAAACTGGACAGTCTACAACAACATGTTTCACTGAGAGTTTAACGTTACACTGCTTACATTTTGGTTCGGATTCTTTAGTAATTAGGAACTTGTGCGTGACACTGGTATGACCTAATCTAAGACGAGTTATTGTCACTTAATCCCTTCTTTTAGTGGGAAAACATCTCCACGGTTTAATGTTCGGTTTATTATTCCTAAGATTGGACACTGAAAATTCGCACCGGTTTTTCCACTCACTTAGGATCCGCGATTTGATAACAATTGAAACATCACTAGCTATCACGTATTTCACAATAATAGAGTCAGCTGAATTGACGGCTTCACGCGCACACTTATCGGCTTGTTCATTACCTCTAATACCATTATGTGATGGGATCCAAATAAAGATTACCTCCTTATTACAATTTTCTATCTTTATCAGATTTTGTTTTATTTTTTCAAAAATATGATTCTCTGGGTATATTCTTACTATAGATTGTAGTTAGTTTAATGAATCAGTCAAACTTATATATTTCTGATTTGGTGAGGATATAATATATGTGAGTGTCTCGTATATGGCATATAAATCTGCATTAATAGTACTATAGTGTATTGGCAACTTATATTTTTGACACGTATTAGAGGATATAACTGCTGCTCCTACACCATCTGTTGATTTTGAAACATCTGTATAAATTTAAGAGAAAGCCGGGGAAGAAAGGGAAGACTCAGTAGCCGATGAATATGCTATCGTGCCATAGTCTAATTTAGATCTGATTAGAGTTTTGTAGAGAGAGACCATAGTTTGTCTATCTGCCCCCAGTCTTTTTTAGATAGTAATTTAAGAATATTAAGTCATGCTTGGCATTCGATTGCCAATTTTTTAATATGTTCTTTCCAATTTAGATGTTGGTCGAATGTCCAATGATAAAATTTTACATTATTTTTTCGAACTAGAGGCTTGTTAAATAGTGAGAGTGGAGAGTGATTAGGGTAGCTTTTCTTTGTGAATTAAATTTTGTTTTTTCTGTAGAAAATTGAAATCCACAATTTTGCGACCATTCCTCTAGTTGATGTAAAAACGTTTGTAGCATACTCGTAATTTTTCCATATTTTGGCTTCTTGCATAGATAACTCGTCTGCATAACATAAGGTCGTCTGCGTATAAGAGACCTTTCAGTGGTGAGTTCATATTGGCTGCAACATCATTTATTACTACTAAAAAAAGTGTAGGACTTAAAACTGATCCTTGAGGAATACCATTCTCTAGTTTTGTTTTTGGTGATAGCATATCATTAGTTTTAAGGTGACATTATTGATTGGTTAAGAAATCATTAATAAAAGCTAGGCAGTGTCCTTTGATATTTAAATTATGTAGTTTTTTAACTATTAGGTGTTTCCAAGTGGTATCATATGCTCCCTTGTCCATAGCACTGACATGTCCATGACAGGACTGACGTTTAGCTTCTTTATTGTAAGTATAGTTATGGCTCGAGTTCTCTTATATTCTAGTTGGTTTTCAAGTGATTTATTTCTTTTGTATTTATTAAAGGCAGTTTCACTTTCTCTACTAATACGGTATCTTTTTGGCCTCAGTAGAATAACACATTGCAGAAGCTACTTCAAAAATCAAGTAATTTTAACTCCTCCCTCTCTATATATTCTAGAAACTGTTGTGTATTTTCCGATCCCGTCCACTGAGTTAGTAAAGAAAGAAATCTACATTATATTCGACAAAAAAATCAAAACCCATCTTTCTTTGCAACTTAACCCTTAATAGGTAATTGTATCCTATGAAATACATTGATATCTCAAAAAATTTACGGAAACTTCATTAAATTTGCAGCAAATCGAGTATTGTGTACAGTGAGATCCACAAGCAGACTAACGTATTGAACGGTATGGTAACGGATAGCGGGTGGGGAAATACATTACACAGGTTTACAAAAAAAATATTTTTTAAAATTGTTTGGAATTTCATAACTGATTTTTATGTATTTTTCAGCACTGATTGCAAAAATGCAGTCCATTTTTTTCTATCACGTAAGGTTTTCTCACAAAAAAGGAAATACTTTTTGGTATAATAACAAAATTTTAGCAATTTTTCAAATTTTTTCTTAAGTTAAAGGATTTTATTTCATGTATAATACATGTTATAAACTACATATCTAGTACACTTACATTTCTCTTTAAGCTCATAAGTCCGTATAGTAACGCTTCTGCTTTCCGTCGAAGCTTTTTTTATTGCTTTTCCGGCTGTGTACTCGTTGAGGGTCATCTCGTTTTAGCATCCATCATTGTTATTTTTTGTGCCTGTGTAAAGTTGTTGAATATTTTTCTATTACTTTCAAGGTAAGATCTTTAAATGTGTTCCATATTTCTGTGTGGTTTTCATTTATTGGTTTCTTTAGCTCATTGTTTAAGTCATTTTCTATTAACGTTTTGTTGGATATTGAGATATTTAATTTTGATGTTTTGGGGCTTTCTTGGACTTTTTTGAGCTTCACATTGATGTCAGTTATTACAGGGTTATGGTCTAAACCGATATCTGCACCAGGATATGTCATTACTCTGGTGACGAGATTCTTAAATCACTTGTTTACCAGAATATAGTCTATCTGATTTCTAATCGTATGTAGTGAATTATCTCCTGGTCCCCTCTATGTGTATAACCTTCTTTTGTGAAGTGGTATAATATATCGCCTCTTTCATTGCTCTCCCCTAGTCCATATTCACCTACCAGGTCAGATCTTCGGCCTTGGCCAATTTTTACGTTAAAATCTCCAATGATATAGGGTAAAGTACCCAGTTATTGGCACTTTAAGCAATAAAATTTAATGTAACTGTATTTTAAAAACAGTATTCAAAACATTGTTAGTTGTATTTTCACATTCAGATTTGGTAATATTTTTAGATTATAATACTGGCGTCCTTTTATTCAAATACCATCTGAATTATTTTTTATAAATTGTTTTTTAAGAAAAGGTCTATTTCACCAGTTATTGGCACTTGAGCCTAGTGATTGGCATACCAAGGAATCCAGTTATTGGCACCTAAATTCAGATAAGCATGTCCTTACGGTTTAGTGCGTAGGTAGCCTAGGTAGGTAGGTATATTGTTTAAAAAATAATAAATCTTAATATAACTTTTTATTAAATACAAAAGAGAGAAATAAAAATGAGCCAAACACGTACAAAAATGAGAAACATAAATATAAAATGTAAAAACATAAGATGACAACTTAAGATGCCAAGCCACGTGTGGTACACACTTTACAAACATACAAGTCTTTATATGTCTTAGCTTTTTTTAGGCAACCACAATGGTAACTTCTGGAACATTTTTGACACTGTATTCCAAAATTAATTAATGAAAAATTTTTTGTACAACTAAAGCATATTCCTTTATTTAAAATTTTATTATTTGTTGGCAATGAACTGAATGAAGTTTGTGTTGGTATTAAATGGTTATTATTTGCTGCTTCCTTTAAAATATTTCTGATATGTTTGGGTTTATTCGCAATTTTTTTCATTTTATCGTGTTCTTTTCTTAACTTATTTTCTTCTTTTTTTAATTTATTTTCTTCTTTCTTTATTTTATTTTCTTGTTTTTTCAATTCTTTTTCTGTCTTATCTCTCTGCTTTTCTTCATAAATTTTTTTCCAACCACTTGATGTGATTACAAAAGGAAGTCTTTCAGTCTGAAGCTTACCTTTTCTTTCAGGAGTTTTAGGCCACATCAAATAATCTTTAAATTCTATGCTCGAGCTAGTATTCGACACACAGTTTGGTTGATCCCCTGTGGGAGTTTTGGTTGATTGTGATTCATTGTTGATTGAGTTTTGTGGTTGATCATTATTATTCTTATTAGAATGCTCTACTACAAAATCAGTCTCATTTGTATCAGAAATATCGTCAAAATTACTACAATCAAGTAAACTTTCACATGGGTAAGCTTGAGCTGAAGTTCCAGGAATAGCAATATCTTCATCCATCATTATTGGTGTACTCGCTATATCAATTTCGTCTGTGATCTGAGGTATTAAAATATTATCGTCAAATATTGGAACGCCGGGTAAATCAATTTCCTCTATAGTAATCATAGAGGTATCAGCAACAAAATCCAAATTGTTTTCGGAATCCAAATTATTTTCTTCCGTGTTCGTAATTTGAAATTGTTTCCATATTTTTAGGAGTAGTTGAAAATGTTCATCAGTTTTTGCATCAGTATAAT